TCATCTATATAACTGTTGTCTGAAAGGGGACAGAGCCTTCTGCCAACCCAGGATGAATCTCTGTACAGTTGTTTCAATGGTGGACCTGGGGCTGACTACCTCGTTGGTAAGAAAGTCTTCCCGCTTGGAAGAGAGGTAGCAACAACCCAGACGCTTTCTAGACACTTACCTGTGAATCTACTGCAAGACCCTCCCCAAATCCTATTTTTTTTTTTTTTTTAAGAGTCTAGCTCTGTCACCCAGGCAGGAGTACAGTGGCGCGATCTCGGCTCACTGCAACCTCCGCCTCCTGGGTTCTAGCAATTCTCCTGCCTCAGCCTCCTGAGTAGCTGGGATTATAGGCACATGCTGCCACGCCCAGCTAATTTTTTATATTTTAGTAGATATGGGATTTCACCGTGTTGCCCAGGTTGGTCTCGAATTCCTGAGCTCAGGCAATCCATCTGTCTTGGCCTCCCAAAGTGCTAAGATTACAGGTGTGAGCCACTGTGCCCAGTCCCCAGCTCCCCTTTCTAAACAGGTAATGAAGCAGATCATGACTGTGTGGCTGACCATACGGTTCCATCAACACATTCACTACTAATTCCTATACACTTCCCTCAAGTCCTGTTAAGGAGCATGATTTCCTCATCCTTCCTCCAGAAAGCGATGTCTCTGGAAGCATCCCATCCTTATTGAAGAAACTATTAAAAACTGTGAAGGATCTGAAGATGTAGTCTCCTTGGCAGCTGCCACATGCCACAGGCTCACAGATGCTGGCAGAAGACCCAGGACAACTGGGTCAGAAACAAAGGACTTCATTACTCTGGGCCCAGCAAGCAGCAAGAGCATTAGCACGTTTGTGTCAGTCCTTGCCCCAAATTCTCTGAGCTAATGCAGCTGGGCCCAGAGGGATGCCTGCATGTGCAAAAGGCTACATCACAGAAGAAGAACCTTGAGTTTAAGAAATCAGGATCTTTTTTTTTTTAATTTTTAAAAGAAGTTTTTTGAGTCAGAGTCTCCCTCTGTCATCTAGGCTGGAGTGCAGTGATCTTGGCTCACTGCAACCTATGCCTCCTGGGTTCAAGCGATTCTCCTGCCTCAGCCTACTGAGTAGCTGGAATTATAGGCACATGCCATCATGCCTGGCTAATTTTTTTGTATTTTGACTAGAGACATGGTTTTGCCATGTTGGCCAGTCTGGTCTTGAACTCCTGACCTCTGGTGATCCGCCCACCTGGGCCTCCCAAAGTGTTGGGATTACAGGTGTGAGCCACTGCACCCAGCCCTGGCTCTTTTTAAATGGTCAGTAAGCAGGCCTTTCCTTTGGTCTGGAAGGAGACACTATCTCTGTCTCCGAAGGCTGTTTTCTATAAAAACATCCTTGAAAAGATATTCTGGGAAAAAGGGCAGCGAGTGCCTCACTCATAAACCATGTGGAAATGAGAAAGGCCTGTGCAGAATGGGTTCCCATCATATGTTATATGTCAATAAAACATTTATTTTAAAACATTTTATTATATGGCTGCTTTAATTTTGTCTTGAACACAGAAACATCAGTCATGTTTACAGAGCCTCTCGGAGGAATGTGTGCCTGTGTGCAGCAAAGGATTCTTAAAAAGATGGGTGTTTGTTAGTTGGCACATATGAGGTTGACAGGTTCAGGCATTCAGAAGTTTTGAGGGACTCTTTCTGACCTTTTCTTTTTTTTTCCATTGAGCAGGGACAATGATTTTTCTTTGTAATATTAGCTTGAAATTTAATTAATGACTTAAGGAGACTTAAAGAGCTCTTAAAGAAATTTAATTAATGATTGTAAAATACTTAAAGATCTGCTGTGAGACAGAACTAGAAAAATACTGAAAGTTGTAGCCAGAGTCTGTACGGGCAGCCAGTCCCCTGGTATGAGGTAAGCTCATCTTTACATTGATGCCCCTACTTTTCATTATCCTACAATTTGCACCTTTTCCTCCCAAATCTGCTAGTTTCCCCATGTTACTAATGTACTGACCTCTCCTTTCTATTACTCGGTAATTTATACCTTTTCTTTAAGTCCATCATATTCCCTGCATTACTAACTTACTGACCTCCCCTTGATATTATCCTGCAATTTACACCTTTTCCCCCTGACTCCATCAGGTTTCCCATGTCACTGCTAATGTACTGACATTGTACAATTTGTGCTGCATTTCTTGCAATTTGTACTCATTTTTCAGAAAACGTTGGGGAAAAGCTGCATTGTACCTATGTCTAGGGTTAAAGAACAGAGACTGTTGAGAGTGGGTTCTCTGGATCCCACTGCAGCCCTATGAAGGGGCTCCGATTTAGGAAGCTAGGCAGTGATTACACATAGTGAGACGGGCCCTGAACTGATGGCTAAGTAAATGATGAAAAGGAAGATGTAAATTTTATCTTCCATCCCTTTAAGAAAGCTTCAGGGGCTCCACAGAATGACAAAAGTCTATGATAGCCTAATTTACATTACCATATTCTTTTCCTTTGTGTTCTTATGAACAAGATGCCTTCTCATATATTAATTTCTCTCCATTTGTTCTATTGCTATTTGCCATGGTTCCTCCTGGCCACCTATATTGGGTCTTAAACAATTCACAGTTGGTGAGTCAAAGGGAGGCAGGGTTAAGGGTTAAGAACATTCCAGACCCAGAAAGTCACATGCGCAAAGGCACAGAGGTGTGGGCTAAGCCCTTAGGGAAACTGAAACACTTCCGCGTGGCTGGAACACAGTGCAAGCAGGAAAGAGTGCCTTGTGCAGGGATCTGGGCAGATAGTCCACTGACCCAAGGCTTTAAGCAGGGAGAGTACCGTGCTCCTATTTGAATTCAGAATAACCTCTGCAATGGTGACATGGAAGATATATCAGAATACAGATGATACTGGAGGTTTGGAAATAAAGTGGGAGAGTGAGCTGTAAGCCCATAAGAAGATGAAGGCAAGTAGTATGGGCTGCATTGTGTCCCCTGAAAACTCATGCTGAAGTCCTAACCCCCTAGCACCTCAGAATGTGACTGTAATTAGAGATAGGGTCATTAAAGAGGCGATTACATTTAAGTGAAGTCATGCAGGTGGGCCCTAATCCAATATGACTGTTTCCTTATAAGAAGAGATCAGGATACAGACAGACAGACAGACACACACACACACACACACACACTCTCACACACACACACAGGGAAGAATATGTGGAGACACAGAAAGAAGGTGGCCATCTGCAAGCCAAGGAGAGAGAGCTCAGAAGGGACCAACCCTGTTGCTTTCCCAGATTTCTAACTTCCAGAACGGTAAGAAAATCAATTTCTTTTGTTTAAGCCACTGTATTAGTCACTCTAGGATTAGTATTAGTCTATGTCACACAGACAGGTATACCCAAGACTGGGTATTTTATAAAGGAGGTTTAATTGACTCACAGTTCCACATGGCAGGGGAGGCCTCATAATCATGGTAGAAGGTGAAGAAGGAGCAAGCCATATCTTATTACATGGCAGCAGGCAAGAGAACTTGTGCAGGGGAACGCCCCTTTATAAAACCATAGATCTCATGAGACTTATTCACTATCATGAGAATAGCATGGGAAAAACCCACCCCATGATCCAATTACCTCCCATCAGGTTATTCCCATGATATGAGGGGGGCATGGGAGCTACAATTCAAGATGGGATTTGGGTGGGGAGACAGTCAAACCATATCATTCTGCCCTTGGCCACTCCCAAATCTAATGTCCTCGAATTTCAAAACCAAACATGCCTTCCCAGCAGTCTCCCAAAGTCTTAACTAATTTCAGCATTAACTCAAAAGTCCACAGTACAAAGTCTCATCTGAGACAAGGAAAGTCCCTTCCACCTATGAGCCTGTAAAATCAAAAGCAAGTTAGTAAATTTCTAGATATAATGGGGGTACAGGTATTGGGTAAATACACCCATTCCAAATGCAGAAAATTGGCCAAAACAAAGCAGCTACAGACTCCATGCAAGTCTGAAATCCAGTGGGGCAGCCAGATCTTAAGGCTCCAAAATTATTTCCTTTGACTCCATGTCTCACATCCAGGACATGCCGATGCAAGAAGTAGGTTCCTACAGCCTTGGGAAGCTCTGTCCCTGTGGCTTTGCAGGGTACAGCTCCGCTCCTGGCTGCTTTCACAGGCTTGCATTGAGTGTTTGTGGCTTTTCCAGGTACATGGTCCAAGCTGCTAGTGGGTCTGCCATTCTGGGGTCTGGAGGACAGTGGCCCTCTTCTCATAGCTCCATTAGTCTCAGTGGAGACTACTCTATGTGGGGGTTCCAACCCCACATTTCCCTTCTGCATTGCCCTAGCAGAGGTTCTCCATGAGGGCTCCACCCCTGCAGCACACTTCTGCCTGGATACCCGAGCAATTCTATACATCCTCTGAAATCTAGGTGGAGGTTCCCAAACCTCAGTTCTTGACTTCTGTGTACCCACAGGCCCAACACCACATGGAAGCCTCCAATGCTTGGGGCTTACACCCTCTGAAGCAATGGTTTGAGGTGTATATTGGCCCCTCTTAGCCATGGCTAGGATGCAGGGCAGTAAGTCCTGAGACTGGACAAAGCAGCAAGGTCCTGGTGCCAGCCCATGAAACCATTTTTACCTCCTAGGTTGATGGGCCTGTGATGGGAGGGGCTGCCATGGTGTCTGACATGCTCTGAAAACATTTTTCCCATTGTCTTGGTGATTAACATCTGGCTCCTCATTATTTATGCAAATTTCTGCAGCCGGCTTGAATTTCTCCCCAGAAAATGAGTTTTTCTTTTCTATTGCATTATCAGGCTGCAAATTTCCAAATTTTTATTCTCTACTTCCCTTTTAAATATACGTTTCAATTCCAAATCATATCTTTGTGAATGAATTAAACTGAATGTTTTTAAGAGCTCCCAAGTCACTTCTTGAATGCTTTGCTGCTTAGAAATTTCTTCCACTAGATACCCTAAATCATCTCTCTCAAGTTCAAAGTTCCATAGATCTCTAGGACCGGGGCAAAATACCACCAGTCAGTAAAGCACACATGCAGCCCTGGACATCTAAGGTTATCACAGACCTGTTATTGCTCAATCTCGGGTGGCTGAACGCCACTTGTCCCTCTAAGAAGTTGGGGGACGCCGACCGCTCGGGGGTCGCGTAACTAGTTAGCATGCCAGAGTCTCGTTTTTAACAGAAGTAACCAGATAAATTAGTCCACCAACTAAGAATGGCCATGCAGGGGAACTGCCCTTTATAAGATCATCAGATTTCGTGAGACTTATTCACTATCATGAGAACAGCACTGGAAAAATCCATCCCCATGATTCAATTACCTCCCACCGGGTCCCTCCTATGACACATGGATTATGGACCTATAATTCAATATGAGATTTGGGTGTGGACACAGCCAAACCATATAGCCACAGTGTGAGGTACTTTGTTACAGCAAACTAAGATAGCATGAGTCAAGAATGTTGAGGTGGAAAAAAATAGAGGCAGATCTGAGTGGTAGATGAGACAGAATTTGGTGACCAGTTGGTTATAAGTGGTCAAGAAAAGAGGTTGATTTAGAGGTTCCTGATGGGTAATTGGGTAAATGGTTATATAATGAACCAATAAAAGTTCCCCCAAAAGGAGAAGGATCAGCAGGTAAAAGGTAATATAAACCACTTAGAATATGTAGAGTTTGAGGGGTCAGTGGGGACACTCAGACAAAGAGGTTCAGTAGGAGTTGAAGATGGGGTGAGATGCTGAGAAAACCGGGATGAGCTAAAGGAATGGAACTGGGAGTCCTCCACGTGGGAGTGGAGCTTGTGAGTGAAATCTCCTAGAGAAGGTATGCTGGTAAGGAAGAGAAAATTGGAAGGGGCATGCAGGCAGAGTGCCATTCACCAAAGGTGAGTAGAAGCATTGATTGTTAAAGGCCGGACCAACCCAGGAGACAGCAGTGTCAGATGCCAATGGAAAATGGTGTGTCAAAGAGATCATTAGTGTTGAATGTTGAAAAGGGTTCAAAGACTGAAGGGTGAAGGTTACATTTGGAACTGGGAGTTTGTGAGCACAACAAAATTGTTTCAGTGGAGCTCGTAGAAGTGACAGCCACAGCGTGCTGAGTTCGGAGGCAGAGACTGTGGGGAAATGAAAACAACAGGCAAACTACTTTTCCCAGAAGCTTGGCAGAAACAGAGCTAGAGGGAAGGCAGGGTCCTGAATGGGTTCTATTAATAGCATCAGTGGTGGGGGTGGTGAAGGAGGAGGAAGGAAAAGAGGAGGAGGAGGAGATGGTTCCATTAAACAGATGAGGCTATATTTAGGTCATTTCCTAAGGTCAGAGGGTGCTGGGCCTCTTGGACATGCTATCTCCAAGACAGGGTCAAACACCATAATTACAATGAGTTATTTCTACTCCCACTTGGGTAGCTGATTAGGATTGGGGCAATTTCTATTCCAAATATGCACATGATTATGTATGTAAGATGTGTTTTTTAAAAAGTAAAAGCAGCCGGGCGCAGTGGCTCATGCCTGTAATCCCAGCACTTTGGGAGGCCGAGGTGGGTGGATCATGAGGTCAAGAGATCGAGACCATCCTGGCCAACATGGTGAAAACCCTTCTCCACTAAAAACACAAAAAAATTAGCTGGGCATGGTGGTGCGTGTCTGTAATCCCAGCTACTCGGGAGGCTAAGGCAGGAGAATCACTTGAACCCAGGATACGGAGGTTGCAGTGAGCTGAGATCATGCCACTGCACTCCAGCCTGGTGAAAGAACGAGATTCCATCTCCAAAGGAAAAAAAAAAAAAAGTAAAAACCAAACAACATGTGCAAGGGTCCAGATAGTTCATTTGTAGAGAATTCTTGATAGGCTTCTGTGCAATGCAAGACAGGTTACATTTGTTTGATATTATCAAGGATTAAGTTGGGGGTCACGGGAAAAGAAGAGGGGGACAGTAAATCAAGGAAGAGGTGAAGAGAAACTTTAGCTCCTGGCAGCGCTGTCTGTCATGGCTAAAGTTAAGTGAATTCCAATCCCTGTTTATGCATCTACTCTCCCACCAGAATGCAAGTTCTTTGACTGCAGGACATGTCTTGTTCAGTGCTGTAACCTAGAGTACCTGCGCAATGCCAGGCACCTAGTAGGAGCCCAACCAATACTGAATGGGGAAGCTCTGCAACAGCTGTAAAACCAGGTCTTCGTGAAGTGATGCCTACATCCAGCTTACGAGGCAAGAATGAGCCCACTGTCTATCTACAATTGATGTCTACCTCCTCTCATAAGGCTAGGATAGGTCAGAGAGGGATGTTTGATTGAAATAAAGTACTATCTACTCTCAGAGTAGATGACCAAAAGTATTTCTGAGTGAAGTGAAGGTTACCAGCAATGAAATAGGGTAATGGGGCCAAGAAGAGGTTCTAAGAAGGCAGAATAAAGTACACTGGATAGGATTAGTATTGGGTATAAGAAATCTAAAGAGAATTCAGAACAAGGTGGCAAAGGTGCACATGATCTTATTTCACTGCTTCTCTATTTTCCACAATTTAAAATTTCTAAATTTGCAAGGCATCTTACAATCATTGGTATCTTAGCAGTGTGTCATAGTTTAATGGGCAGAACTTTTTCTGTCATTAGTGGTACAAAATATGATGGTGCCCCTAGAATGAATGGTGTCCCAGATTTACTGAAATATGATTATTTTACTGCATGAAAGAGTTTGGCAGTTGTTTTGATCTACTGTTTTAATTAAAAGCATTCAGCTTTAGCAATGGGTAAATCCTAAATACAAATCAGAGTATCTCAAAAGGCACCCCTTCATATATTAAGACATAGGATAACTACTTTGAGAGCCACTGCACAGTTTACCACTCTCAACCTCAAAACACTGTGCAGTAAAGAACTCTGATTGGCAGAAGCACTGTGAAGCTTTATCATGAGTAATGACATGCAAGTCCCAAAACTCAATAAAAGCCTGATTATTAGTACTTTCATTCAATTGCTTCCATGTTTGTTATTAAATACGTGCCTTCCTTCCAGCACTACAGAACGTTGGTCATTTTCTCAAATGGATGGGGGTAAAAAAGGCTTGAGACTCTCTGATTTCAAAGGACAGATGACTAGGAGAAAAATTCTAGCTTGCTGACGGGACATGCTAAAAGATGATCTGAGCAATGTTTTGAGACATAATCCTCTCATTAGATGAACCCTGTGGTGGTTGTGATATGTGGGGTTTGTATTGCTTTCAGTTTTTACAAGGTCAAATCTAAATCCATATAATGGAAATGTATTCTATTTTAACTGCCAGGTATGGGATGAATTAATTCACCTGCTTATTTTTAAATGTGTCTACTGGCCTTTAGAAGCTATTATTTACATAAAGGTACTTCTGAACTTTACAAACAGGTCAGATGCTACCCACTATCTAAATATTTAAAATAAAGTATTAGAGATGTATAAAGCAACAATCCATACTCAAAATAAGAAAATATAAGATGAAAATCATCTCCAAATGCCCTTTAAATCACATTTTAAATCATTTTTGTAGATTTATCATACTGTATTAAAATATATTTTCTCAAAATATTAAATTATATGAATGTCTAAATACATCTTCACAGCTTTAGATATAAAGAATATGGAGTATATTTTACTTAGCAATCAATACTCTACTTTGGGCAGTTATTTTAATGATTATTATAATTCAGTATCTAACTTTTTAAAAAACTGACCTAAGAGACAATAACAAATGTGGGTCATTTATCTCAAACTTCTTTGAGGTCTAAATTTACTTTCTATCTTGACTCTTCTCATTTTCACCTTGTATCTGATTACTTTACAAGACACATGTCTCTTTCTTCTTTTCCATAGTTCCTTTTTCATTCGTTTTTTAAAACTGCTTGTTGCTAAGCAATGTGAATAACATCAGACCATAAATTCATTACCTTAAAACACTGTCTACTTGGTATTATTTTCTTCTGTTACTTTATGTTGTTTGAATTGACCCAAAAAGTACTTTCTGCCTTCTTCTGACCTTTCTTTTGCAAAGACATGATCCCCCCATCTCCCTGTCCTCCAATCATTACTAAACAGCTATTGTATCCAACACTTAGCCCCATTTTTTGTTCTCCACTGTACTTGTTAAGCTCCGGTGGACAGACTCTTACATCATATGACTACTTTTATTTTTAGTCTGCTGTCTTACTTCCTTCTTTTGTATTTAAAGACATTAGAAAGACACCTTTCATAAAATTTAGGTCACTTCCTATTATTTTCTTTTCATCACTTTTGCTATTCCAAATGTTGGTTCCTTTCAGTATCATAGCACGTGTTATTGTTCTCTTCCTGACACTTCTTCTTTATGTTAGTGATATTAACTATGCTATAATCCTATAAAACCACATTCCTTATTCAGTTTAAATTTGTTCTATTTTTCAATGAGTTACAATGCATTTAATTTATCTGGTACGGTAAGCTACACAAAAACCATAAACATGCCACACACACCCCCCAAAAACAAGAAACAAACAAAAAACCCCCAAACACTTCAATTACTTACAAATATATACCATAATTTTCTTTTACATATGTCTGAATAAGTATTTTTGAAGAAGACTAAGAACACGCTTTACTTTTGCCAAACCAAGTTAATTTGTAGGCTAATTTGTGCTGCGGGCTCATATAGACTCTTGGTTCCTATTATTATTCATGGAGACAATAAGTTTTTAAGAAGGGTTTAGAGGGTTTATGATTCAAGACTGCCTGATATTCAGCTTGACTCACTCTGACTATAACCTTATAAGCCTGCATTTTCTAATTATAAACAGAAAGAAGTGATGCTTCTTCCCCTATTGCAACACAGGGATGTTACAGAAAACTAAAAGCAAAATTCATTATGTATAAACTCTTCAGAACAAACTTGTTCTACCAGAAATGCCAGATATGTGTGTGGGTACACATGTTAGTATTAGCATATCTTCTTTTAAGATTTGGCCTATTAATAGTTTTTCAGTTTTCATTTCTTCTAAACACTGTGAATATACCTCTCTTGGTATTTATTGTATGATTCTGCTATGTTCTGAATATCTGTGTCCCCGTAAAATTCATAGGTTGAAACCTAATCATCAATGTGATCGCATTAGAAGGTGGGGCCTTCATAAATGTAGGTCATGGGGAAGAGCCCTCAGGAATGGGAGTGATGCCCAAGAGGTCCCAGAGCACCCCCTTGCTCCTTGCCGCCATG